GGAGAGATGGAGGGAGGGAAAAAGGGCCCAGCCATCAGATGCACCTCATAGCCCTGAGGACACCTCTGGACATCAACTTGGCTCAATCACAGATATGCCTGTGATGACCCTGAGTCATCGGAAAAGGTCAGGTTGAACTGGATATGGTTCTTTTTGCAACAGAGATTTATGTCCTACTTTTGGGGACACTGGACAAACAAAACAGAAAAAAATCCAGGCAGCTACAGAGGCAGCGACTTCCAGTGATCCGGAACATTCCCTTGTCTGGGACAGAGCTCAGACGGAGGACACCACCCAAATGAGGTGTCAACGCGTTATCATCACGGGGCGTCTGCCCCTGCCCCAGGGCCGCTCAGACTGTGGTGCTGCGGCTCACGGGGCTTTGGACGAGAGGCTCCTGCCCCAGAACTCTCCACCCAGGAGCAAGGACCACAGTGCTCGGTATGGTAAGCTCATCTCAGCTGTGACAACTGGGTCCAGCTTACATTCCCTCAAAGATCTTGCAGGATGAACTGTTTCTCTCTTGCAGCTATTAAAAACTAAAATTAATTTTTTTTAAAAAGGCCTCATTTCCAATGGAAAACAGACCCTGCACAGATGGGGTTATTTCCCTCAGACCTGGATGCACTGAGCTCAGTACTTCGGTCACTGCAGATCAAATCGGTGTGTTTCCAGGTCTGCCTCTCGGCTGAAGCTGCTTTAATGCCATTCCACAGTGTTGCTCAGGGACTGATGGTCCTGCTGGTAAGAGGCCAAACCGGGCCTGGATTTGTTAGCACCTAGAGGACAGAAGGCCTGTCTGTTCACCTCATTTCCTTGGCATGCCCAGCAGGTTAGGCAGGTTAAAAAGCCTTTGACGGATGACAGAAATTTTAGAGTTTCAGGGCCAGGTATCAGCCCAGTATTTATCTGATCCAAGTATCCTATTTTCCAAGAATACTTCATGACGTCTTTCTGGTAAACCTCACTACACATCTGAAGTGAGCAGGAGACTGAAAGCCTCATGAGGGCAGCTGACGGGTCTGTTCTGTGCACCACACAGGGCATCCCCAGCACCCTGCAGAGGGTGGGGTACATTGGTGGTCCTCAGGAGATGTCTAACAGTGAATGAACAAGTGGATGGAATAGCAGTAAATGTTGCAGCATCTCCATAGACTGGTGGTGGTCCTCACATTTCAGTGTTCAGAAAAATTACCTGGAATAGTTAAACTGCAGATTTCTCAGCCATCACACCCACCCCTCATCCCAGATTCTGAACCCATAGGTCTGGGAAGGAGCCCGAGAATTTGCAGTTTAAAATATCTCCCCAAATAATCCTTTTGCCCACAGTGAGTAGTTTACACTTTGAGAAACACCGTTATCTTACTTCAGTAAGTCCACCCAGCGGACATATTCCCTAGTCTGTGGCCCAGAGTGGGTTTCCTCTGCTCTTTTTAATCCAAAAGGAGGCTGAGGAACTAACTTTGGCAGATGCCAGATATTCTTTCACCAAAAGTATTACACACACAAAATGCTACTAAGATCACAAAACTTTTTGAAGAAAAAAGCCTTTCTTAATAATCCACCCACTTTTATTAATTATAGTTTTTCCTCCACAAGTCTTAGAACTGCCCTGGAAAACAACATCAGCTCATTTCTCAGACAAACACTCAATTCCAGCACTTTCTCTGTGCTGGTCAATGACCAGCCCTACCACTTTCAAACATTCTGTATTTGGAACATTTTTTTCACCCTGTGGAATCTGCAAGGTGACAAGAGGCCTCCCCTCATCCAGGTTGGCAGTCTCTCTCCAGTGCAAGTCTGCGGCTCTCTTCCCAGGTGCGGACATTTGAAACAGAGTCAGACTTCATCTCAAGACGCTTAGGTTGAAACAGCATCTTTGGGATCCAAAGCCAATTCAAACCTCTTGTGGTGTCAAGAATATGAAGAAATTCTAATCCCAAAGGGAGTATTATTGTCCATAATAAAAGCTGGATGTTCATTCATTCAATTCATACCAGATTCTCTGACACTCAAACCCAGGAGGGGGATGATGGCTGGGTTTTGAGCCAACTCTTTGAGCAAAGTAAGGTAATTCAGACTCCAAAAGTATTACACAACAGAATGCCCAATCCTGGAAACATTCCGAAGCCTTTTTTTTCTTTTCTTTTTTGGTTACCCAGAAATGACAAAGGAAATTATTTACTCCAGGAAGGTTTGCAGATTGGTGTGGCTAAGGGATCCAAGAGTGCATTTTTCTTATGTCTCCCTCCCTATTCCTCCTCCTGCCAGTAACCAAGTGACAACAGAATTATTGCTAGCCATCTATTTTTTTAATCATGTGATTTTCTTACAAAAGACAAGGACAATTGTTGTTTCCAAAAAAAGGCACATGACAGTTACATGAGATTCCATACAGCTGTTAAATGCCTCTAGCCAGTCCGATTCAGGGTTTTGAAAATTACTCATGCTTTTAATAGAATACCAATTAAGACAGAAAAAAAGGAGTCAAAAAAGGAACTGGAACCTTAAAGACAATACTAATTTAAAAAACAGCCCATAAGGCTCTAAGAACTGTTGATATTTCATAAGATACATTCATAAGAATAAATGAGATTTTCTACTCAGGGAGTTTTATCACAGCTTTACAAGTATTTCTAAACAGAATTGCCTGACTTCAGGAAATATCTCCTTTTTACCAAGGCATTGTTTGGGTAGGTGTGGTGAACTGAGGTAGGAAAAACTATTATTTTGTAAAGGAGAATAATTACCTTCCTCTCAAAAGTTATTTTTGGTTATTTTATTTTTAAAAATATTTGAATATTTCAAATTAATTTCAAAATGTTATTTTAAAAATCAGAATGCAAAATCCACCTATTTTATCTAATTCTGTTTGGTAGGGGAGAAGTGGAGACAACCCAATGACACAAGAAGGCAAAAATTACAAATGACAGTGTTTATGCCCTTCTCGGGTGAGGTTCTGTGAAAACAAATCAGCAACTATGTCAGGGTGACCAGCTGTGTCTTATTTAAAAAAAAAAAAAAAGAGAGAGAGAGAGAGGCTAGAACTGTTCCAGGATTGGCATAACCCAGCTGATTCTATAGACATGCAGCCCTCCAGGGGGTTAGCAGACAAACTGGCATTTCAGTCTTGTTAAGGGCAATTCTGAGGTGGGAACTAAGCAGAAGGAGCTGGCCTCGGTCCCTGAGCCCAGAGAAGAGCTATAAGGTAGGGGAAAATTCTGCAGCCCGTGGGGATGTCTGGCTGGAAGGAAAGCCAATGACTCCTTTAGGGCATTTCATCAACCAGTCATATCCCCTCTCTTGCCTTTGAATTTTCTTTGGTTGAAGAAAGTGAACAGCAGCTCCAGACTTGTCCAAATACCTTGGGCTTCTTGGTCTGCTTTTAATTTGTTGGAATGTTGGCACAGACTGGCTCACCCAAGAGGAATGCCTTCGGCTATGTCCAGTGGCCAAGTGCACTGGACAGTTGCTTTAGGCTCACTGGGAGCTTGGTGATGACCCGAGTCAGCCAGGCCTGGCTCTGAATTTCTCAGCAGGATGGCTACAGGGCTGCCTCAGGAGGGCTACTGAAGATTATTATTATTGAGCCAGAGCTAAACACAGCCAAGTGCCTGCATTTGGAAAAGGAGTCCTGAAAGTCATCTAGCCCACCTGTGCAAGTAACAATTCTGGTAGGAGGGGCCAGTGTGGGCTTGGAGGGTAGAGGGGGCTTTGAGCAGTACCTTGTGGACAAGGAATGGAGGAGACAGGCATTTCAGACAAAACCTTCCAGCCTGTGAAATGAGAATGGCTTCCAGGTGTGACTGGCGCATAGGGTGGAAGAGGAGATGAGCGTGCAAAGGAAAGCAGGGGAAGACTTCTCCGCCTCACATCAACCTGTGCTGTTCAGACAGCGGCTAACAGTCCTTCAGAAAAATAACCCTCCAGCCAGACTGCGTCTTCCAGGGGGCCTGAGTTCTCTCACCCACTGGGGGCTCTTGGTACATCCACTGTGAATTGAGGGCTCTAGGAAGTAATTAACTGAAAAAGTCATTTGCTGATAGGGTGAACATATAATTAACTACCCAAACACTTCAGAGTGACAAGAGCAGCTAGTAAGAACTGTGCTGGGCACAATCAGCCCAAGCCAGTCTTGGCCAAACCAGAATGTCTGGTCACCACTGTTTTCTGAGCCCTTCCTACATGCCTGGCACTGTGATAGGGTCTTAGCTCAGTTCATTTGTTTCCTCAGTAACTCTGGTTGAGTAGGTGTGATTATTTCCATTTGACAAAACCATGAGGAGTCCCAAAAGCAGAACTGGCTTCTTTTGGGGGTGGGGGCAGAGCTCAGTGGTAGAGCACATGCTTAGCATGCATGAGGTCCTGGGTTCAAACCCCAGTACCTCCATTAAAAAAAAAATTTGGCATCGTTTTGTACTCCTTTTCCAACTACAGAATCTTCTCCTTCTGCCCTCATGTTTTAAAAACCTGTTGATGCTTAGGGCATTCAGCTACTCCCCGGTGTATCTTTCCCAGTCACTGAAATCTAATTGCCTCCTGGTTCCTCTCCCAAATTAAAGGCTTGGGCACTTGAATTTTAGACTTCCTCTGCATCCCAGGTCCTGCTGTCCCTTTTGTTGGCTCAGAAGTCTAATTTGCATGCCCCATGCAATCTTTAGGCTTCATATTCCCCTGACCTCTTCCACCCTAGGGCACCCATCCTCACTGCTTGTCAATCACCAGCTGGCGTGACCACACCCTGGACCTTGACACAACTTCCTGTTCTGTCACTCCCTTGCTGCCATTCCACCTGTTCTTCTGTCATCCCAGCTGCCAGTCCTTTAATGCCTTTGCTTTACCACACGCCCAGTCAGTGATGTGCTGGCAAATGTTTAATACACACCTGGAAATACATGCATAAGTTTATTATAAATTTACTGATATAAAGAATGGGTAGCACACAATCTACAAATAATAAAATATACAATAGCCTTTGTTGTGAATTCCATTTTTGCCAGGTGAACTCATTTTTGCCAGACTCTTTCATCTGTAGTCAACAGGTGGTGCTGATGGCAATTCAGCCAGGATTTAACAACTGGACTTGCATCCCAATCCACTCTTTTCTCAATACATGTGTTTTCTCAATAAATGTAGCTAACTGGTAAACCGTTTCCCATTGTATTTATGCAAACTGGATTTATTAAACTGAAATTGCTCAGCTTCAGCACGAGCAGTGGTAGTCTCCCCCCCACACCCCCCATGAGATACAACCAGCACAAACACCTCAAGGGCAGACAAGAGCCAAATGTGCTTCAGGAGGACGTGATGACCTTTGAGTATTTACTACTTTTGTTTTTTAATGTTAACTTATTAAGCAGTAAGTTTATCTAGTTTAATTGTAAATAAAGGTGGCATTTGAAATCGGCTCACAAAATTCCTGCACACTTAAGCATCGTCCACTTGCAGACTGGATGGTTGGGCTGCAGCACACCACTGTGGGCCCCTCAAGGTCAGCCTCTCCTCTTTCCCCATTTTATGGGTCAGCCTAAAAAGAGCAATGGAGCTGGCGTCCTCCACGATCTCTGGGTGAACACGACTTGGGTGAGGTCAAGCAGTCTAAAAACGTCCCTCCATTTTCTTAATACGGGTCCACAGATGACTTCTGGGAAAACAAGTGTCTCAACTAGTTTGTACTAGGCACGTAACAGTTTTACAACTTACTATTTACCAAGTACTTCTAGAGTTACCGAGGAGAGAGAGGTTATGGACTTGGGAGTCTGGGTCTGGTAAAATGTCTACACGCTCCTCTGCGTAACAGATACAGGCCTGCTACAGGAATGCAGAAGATCAGTGGAAATGAACCAAGCAGCTCTTCCACTTCCCCTGAGGTCAGTGCTGACTGTCCAGAAGCCCCACTAAGGAAACAAGTCTCCAAGGCCTACCATTACCTACGCTGACACCAACTCCTCCGTACGGCCTTTTCCCCGACAGGAGGAGACATACGCAGACATTACCTCATCCTCTAATCCTCACATCAAACCTGCGAGACACGTAGCAGAAGGTATCCTCAACTTACCTTATCTGTGGGGAAATCACTGCCCAGGTGTCAGAGCAGCTTACTGCTGCACAAACATTCCCAAGTGTCCCTGCCACCAGCACGGACTAAGCCGTGGGCATCTCTGGCTTGCTCAGGAACCATTTTGCAACCAAAGTGCAAAGTGGACAGCTCTCTATCCCAGCTCATCAGAGAAAAAGATCTGGTTTAAAATGGCTCACTGTAAGCCCTATTCTAAACAGCTGACTCACCTAAGAGCATCTCACAGGAGCAGCAGTTTTAATAATGTTACAACCCCAAGAGGGTTTGCAGAAACCCCAGCAAGTGGCTACCATCCTAGACAACTGTGAAGTTTTAGGGGAAATCTGAACGCTGCTTGTGGGGGATCAGAGCTCATGGAAGGGACAAGATGTAAAGAATGAGTAACAAGTCCTCACGGAATTGCCCTCTTTCTTCCTGAAGGATGTAAATCTCCACTTTGCACCAGGGGTTTCCAGGGCAAACAAGACTCACTTTTCAGAGAGATGAACGTGATCAACTACTAATGTCATGAAGTTTCATTTAGCCTTTGCATTCCTGAGCCACAGAGGGAGACAGTGTCCTGCTACCAGTCAAGCTGAGAAAAGTTGGCCTAAGAGAGTTGGCCTCAATTTCCTTTTCTTCTTCTAACAGGTGAACACAGAGCCTCGCCCTCTCACAGAAAGCCTCCTCTTCCAGCCACCTGCAATATGAAGTGTTCTCTTGATCTACTAGATGGCCACGTCACTCTGTAGCTTCCTCCAAAGGACCCAAAGACCTTCACCTTCAGCTTACACCTCAGCTGTCTCCACCTCACGTCCGGATTACCCACCACCACCCACAACGGCCTGGCCTGCCTTCCCCTTCCACAGAAACTTCACTCATTTTCCAGTTACTTAAACTGGAAAACTTCCTAGAGACCAATGTATCTAAGTGATCACCAGGGTCATTTTCTACACCAAAATAATGAACAACAGTAAATGAGAATAAGGACACCTACCATGAACATGAACACACCCTCACCTTCAAGGTCACGGCCCAGCTCAGCTGCAGGCTCATGACCCTTAAGAACTAAGTGATGATACAAGGTTCAACATCTGCGTAAGAGTGACTACTCCAGAGACAGCCACTTAGGGCAATTCGTCACTTCGAATAGCCTTCCACCTACCTAACCACACCAACTGGTGTAAGTTTAACCAGCACCATCACTGTGACAGGTCAGCTCCAAAATGGAGAAACAATAGCTGAGGCAAAGTCCTTCAGTGTGGCAGGTCCACTGGTCAAGAAACAATCCTCAGTACACATCCTGATTCTACCGACGGCCTCTGGTCACAGCAGGGGTCTAGATACCGTCCAAGGAAGGAAGTCTCTCCCTCTCTATTAAACACTGAGTTCCATACAATCTGTCAGGGAAACCTTTCCGCTGTGTTGCTTCCTCTCTCAAGTGATGTTAAAACTTAGGAACCGGTCTTAATAAATGACATTACATACATGATTTTACATACACACACATTGTTTTGAAAGGAGCCTGCTGGTTTGAGTCCTGGTGATACAATCAAGGTGTTTTTCTGCATCTGGACTAGATCGGTAATTTTCAAAGTGATCTGTACACAAACCCAGGGCCTGGAGGTAGACGCTTTCACCTGTTCTACACTCTGGGCTTCTGACTATCATGTCTTTTAAAGGAAGGGTTCGCCTGCTGAAAGAAAGGAAGGGGGGAAAAATCTGAAAGCTTAACTGATCTTCCAGTTTCTATTTAGATAAATATTAGAATAACCTATTTCCTTGTTGCCACCTCAACATGTATGGACATTCACTTGCCTGTAAGAGTTAGAAGAAAGGAGGACGAGACTTGATCTTATTTTAAAATGCATTTTGGCCATTATTAATCTAATTCTAGCTCATTCCTCAGGCATGTTCTGAAAAAAGCAAACACAGAAACCTCTAGTCAGCAGGCATTTAAGAAAGACACAATGCTCCCCTTTCCCGTAGCCGTCCGTGGGAAGTTGCTGCTCCCTCCACACCACCTGGTCCCTGCTAGGGGACCTCCTATCCAAGACCCCCTCTGGCCTGCCCTTCAGGTGTTTTTACCTTCAGCTTGACCTCCTTCAACAAGAGATTCGTATGACTAGTGATCACCGAACCGGATGTAGTGTCAGACATTCCAAAGATGAAATGCTCCAGGGTTGTTTGTTATCAGGGAGTCTACTTCAGCTCTCCCAGAGGGACTGTTTCCACTGCCCCCACCAAGAAATGCCAGATGTGAACACATCATAGCACTGTGGCTGATGAGGTTTTAACTCCTGTGATAGCCAAACACTGGGGGAGGAAAAACCCTAATAAACAGCTTACTCTGTCCAATGAGAAAAGAATGACACCAAACCATTTAAACATAATTTATGTACATTTATGGCTTTATACAATAATAGCAAAGATTGTTCTCGTGTCTTTTAAGTACATCAGCATCATCAGGCACTTCTCAGAGAGTACTGGAACGGGAACGTCAAATCTGCACTGTTAACTCAACTCAAGGAGCCAAGTGTGGGAGGGCGGGACTGTGTCCTGGCAGGACTGACGTGGCCGCACCTGGCCATGTGGCCGGGCTATGCACCCCCCGCAGGGAGGAGGCCAAGAGTAATGCTAGGCTGTTTTGTTTGCATAAACCACACTGCATCTTCTACTGAATGATTACTCCCAGACTAAAACCACAAGAAAAACTTCCCATTTAAAAGTCAGTTATAAATTAAGAACTCTTAGGAGCCGAATATAAGAATTTCCAGTTGGGGACTGGGGATCGAGGGGGAAGGGGAGGTTGGTAACATATATCCAGCAGCGGAACAAGTCCAAATTACACACTTTGGGGAACTCTTTCCATTTTAAATGTCTTTCTCCTCTTCTTGGGACAGTCTACTGATCTACTGCTCGCTGGGATATAATATTTGCTAATTAATTTAGACTTTGTCAGTTTGTCAAAGCAGAACTTTCCAAGTAATGCATCTATTACCTAAATATATTCCATACGTCTATATTACGGAAACAATACTTTATATTTAAAATATCTGAATAGCTCTATAATACAATATGCTTTTAATAACAGTACAAACCAGAGGAAATAAATCAAACAAGGCTGCATAGGTGATATCATTTGCACATTTCACAAAGCAATCATGTACAATAACTGATATACTCATTACTCCAGAAAATCAGTATTCGTACAGAAAAAGAATTACCAGAGGTCACATAATATTTGTTTTCAAAATAGACAAGGTGCCTTTCACTGGACTTCACTGTACCCCAGAGAGCTACCCAGCATTCCCGTTAGAATTGAAACACAAAGAAAAATTTGAAGGGAAAAGCAAAAGATATTTACACAGACTCAAGAGAAAGCAACATCTCTTTAAAAGTCACCCTATGAAGTAGTAAGATTTTTAACAGTGATTTTTAGCTAGAATTGCCTCTTCAATAAACAACAGGGTCAGGGAGGCTCATGTGTGGTGGCCAGGGCGGAGGGGAGTGGTGGGACATGGTCACAACAGAGAACACGAGCACTCTGGCCCCAGAAAGTTCGAGCACGAGTGCAGGAGGAGGCACTGCTCAGGGGAACGAGGGTTTCTAAAACCAGGTGTATTTTGGAGTGGCCGACAATGAAGATGGTTAGAGAGGTGGTTGTTTAATGAATTTTCAAAAGAGTAGAAGTCACAATGGAAGCTTACAATAGAGCTCACCTCCTGTAGGAAACCCATCAAGAACACTTGTGTCCTTGTTAAACATGTAGGAAAAGCCAGGCCAACAGAGATGCAATTCAGGGGCAAGACAAAGCAAGTGTGATGTGGGCTAAGTACACAGAAATCAGAGCCTTCTCAAGGAGGCAGGAGGAACATTTTTGTGCACCTGTTCCTTTTACTGTGCGGACTCTGGGCATTCCACATGACTTGAAAACACTGATGGATTCAATGGGACACAAGGTCAATTAACTTGGTCTGTCAGTTACAGGTAATTGGAAAATATCACATAATGAGCAGAATCATACTTTAGGTTGCTAAAGGCTAGAAAAAAGTCTCCAATTCTTAACGCAAAAGCTTTGAAAATAAATTCAAATATACAACTCACGGTTGTTTTGTTGGTTTTCAATTTCATTGCCCCAGTTTTTAAGCAGGTTCTACTCCATTTGGTAGCCATCTATACTCATGAACACAAAGCAATCTACAAATCACTCAAGTCCCATTTTAAAATTTCCCCCCCTTCAATTTAACTTTCCACAGAGTGCCAAGTAATCTGCAGGACAGAAGGCAAACAGGGATAAGTGTGAGTGTGGACATAATTCTTCAAGGCAGAGATACAAAACCAACCTCCACCAAGACAGTAAGAGCACAGAATAACGAGGGAAAACTTCTGCTGAAACTCAACTCAAAAAGGTTAAGTCGATCAAAATGCCCAGCTTGAGAAAGCAGCACTGATTAGATGCAAATCTCCCCTCCTGACCTACGAATGTTACGAGGCCCCCCCCAGGAGTATTTGATACAGTGAGCATATAGGCATCAACCAGCAGATTCAATGCTATGTGGTATGCTCAGTTCACAGGACAGCAGAAGCAGATGGGATTTCTTTAAAATACATACATAAAAACACATCAAGTTCTAAACGTGAACCGCAAAATGTCTGTAACTATACATGATTCTCCTGCCAAGACAGGGCCAGAAACGTTGAGTATGCAAGTATTAATTACAAAGATTTTAAGATTAGTCGGAAACATCACTATGTAGCATCCCAAAGTGTACAAACCAGTTAAGCACGTATAAAATTAGTACTAATCCAGTTAGAAATACAAAATGAAAATTACGGATGCTGCCTCAAATAGCTGGGATTCCACAAATTTACAAGCAGACTATGTAACAAAGTAGACTCTAGTTTTAAGAAAACATTACAGTTCAGTATCTATTCCAAAAATGATCTCAAGTCCCAAAGATAACATCAAAAATCATTTATATGGAAATTAGAACCATTTAAGTCTTTGTACAAATTTGCAAATAACAAAATAAACAAAAAAAAATAGAAAAGACCTGTACAAGGCTGGCGTTTAATCTTTTCCCCCAAAAGAGTTTTTTAAGTCCATTATTTCAGCAGATTGCTAACAGGCCACTGGTTCCCAGGTGAATTCTGTGGCAATGTGAACAGGCCCAGAGCAGTCCATGGAGGTGCAGAATGGAGCGCCTAGTTCTTCGTGATTCGTCAGTTCAGCAGAGCACAGGCAGTACGAACGAGAGTTTAACTTGTCAAGGACATGAGACCATCACAGTATTACAAAAACAGTATAAACTTTCCTTGGACCAAATGGATATTTAAAAAAAAAAACAAAAACGCACACAAATACAACTCTGTAGCTACAGCTTATATACAAAAATTGAAAGCACACCAGGATCCGAAAGTCTTTTCTGCAGTTACATGGTGTAGTGAGTTTGGCACTTCATTGTAATGAAATTTCCAATGGCACAGTCCTTATCTACAGCAGCACATAACCTGCAAACATCGGGCAAACATCCTGTACAGGAAAAGTGTCTTTGCTGCCAAGTCTGACGAAAGGAAAAAAGAAACGTGCTTTTTTTTTTTTTTAAATCAAGAAAACGAAAAGGTGGGGTGAAGGACATCTTTGGACTGCTTCTCTCAGTTCCTGCTGTCAGACAATCTGAAGTACTTTTAAGTGTAGCCTAGGAAAAATGCACACACACACACACAATGAAAATATAGCCAAAGTAAAATCAATTCAACTTAACATATTAGAGTGACAGTCATACTTGGGGGAGGGGGCACCTTTCTCAAACAGCTCCAAAATCATTCAATGGGGGGAAATTCCACTTAAAAAAACCCTTCAGCATTTTTTGAGTGTTATCAAATGTATTCATTTATTTAAGAGTTACTAAAAAGATGCAACCATCTAACTGTCAAAGGAAAACTCTTTAAAGCAGTTAGAGGAAGCTTCCTTATGTTTAAGCTCAAAAGGAAAATTTATAAGCTGCAAAAAGGGCAGAGAAGGAATGATAAAAGCTGCCTTCCTGCAAGGGACGGCCAGCTGACAGCAAAAACGCCCCAACCATGGAAGACACAAGGCAAGTTACTGGGTTCCTCTCTTGTAAGTCCTGTTTTCAGAAGGCCTTCTGATATCAGGGTACTCTTACCTGCTCACTCACTCTTAGCCTGACACCCAGCTATGTGTTGTCGTCTTGACACTGTGGGGGAAGCTTTGGTTGGGCAACACATTGTCAAAGTTAAAATCCAACGTGTCTCCATCCATGAGGTCGTTTCGAATGATGGACTCCATGTCACAGTCCAAGCGCTCGATGAACATGCCGTCCAAGTCACTCGGGAGCTTCTCCTGGTGGAGAATGCCCATCCTGCCATAGCCATTGCAGCTGCTCACGGTGGAGTAGCCCCCCAGGGTGTTCATCTGCATGGGGTGGGGCAGAGGCACTTGTAAAGCTGTCTTCACCTGGGCCAAACGATTCATACCCGAGGTGTGGGGCATGGTGTTTACCGCATGGGGCAAGGCACGCCCGTTAACTGCAGACGTGGACTGAGCGTGTCCAGGGTGGGTGTGGGAGCTGGGAGTCATCATTTTGTTATGAGATGCCTGGCTGCCATAGGCTGGCATGACCGAATTAGGGCCCATCAACACATTCTGGCCAAGGACCCGGCTATTGGGTTGAGCCACCCCAGGATCAACTGGTGTCATAATGTCATTATGGGGAGGAGAGTCAGAAGTAAGTAACTCCTTCAAGAGTCCCGGTGCGCAGTTATACTGATTCATACCTCCATAACTCGATTTGTTGTCCTGAAGCGTTTGCATAGGCATCTGGGGCAAGGGGCTCATGCTGGATTGGCCGTACGTGTATTTTTGGTAGTTTGGGCTGGGTGAATTCAGACTGGTGTTGGGCGGCGCAAATGAGTAGCATGGTGTCTGCTGCATCATGGTGCCCGGTGAAGACTGGGTTGAAACAGTTAACGATGTTGGTGATGAGAGAAGGTTGAGATTATCCAAAAGGTTTTCCATGTTCTCAGGATTGCTTATCTCAGACAGACTGGGCAGAGTAGAAGCCATCTTTGCTGCAGATGGTGGGTATACCAGAGAATGCACGTCCCCATCTCCAAGATCATCCTGTTCGGTCATAATAGGAGAAAGTCTCCCACTAATGGTACTAGCATTCGAGCTAGTTCGAGGTCGAAATGTACTCCAGTTATCAAAGTCATCATTGCTGTGAGAGCCAGGGCTTGCAGGCCACTTAGAAAACTGAGATCCCGGGCTATCCCCAGCACCCTCCTGGCCAGACTGGAGGGATGCTTTTTTCTTGGCAGCTCGGCCTCGGCTCTTAGCAAATTTACTGTTATTGTCCATGGATGCGGCTCTTCTTCTGGGGGATTTCCCACTCTTGCCTCCCTCAGGATTGAGCATCCACCAAGAACTTTTTCCAGTTCCTTCATTCTGCACACGAATGAACTTGCTGTGTAGGGACAGATTATGACGAATTGAATTCTGCAAAGCAAAACATCATGTTAGAAATACAATACTTCTCCAATTGGAAAACCCACCAGTCATACAGATATGTATTACATGGAAGACATGTCAAGTTTTAAAAGAGTTTATGGTATAGAATTCAACCCATACAGTCATTACAAGAGAGCTGAAACCAGGAAGGGAAAAATAGTATGTTATCTTAAAAACAGCATCTGTATCTTAATTTAACGAGGGGACAACATAAAGTATTATTATAAACACCCTCTTTTACATATAGCTCTATTTTTCAGAGATTTGATAGGAACTGGTTTTAAAACCACTTAGATTTGCTATGTAAAGCACTATCAAAACCCCATCTCATTCTATCACCCCAAAATTACTGCCAGTTCTCGCCAGATTACACATTTGTCATTAACACAAAGTGAGAAGTCTTATAATACGGGGCCCACATGATCATGGAAAGAAAGAAAGGAAGCAGTATATATTCTTAGTCAAGAATTAAAAGCCTGAAAACTAGTAAGACCTAGATTCATTTATATCCTTAAAGCCCATTAGGCAAATACAAGTGAATATAAGGAAAACAGGGTTTTGTTTTGCTTTATTTTTTAATTTTAGAAAGTTGAACTGCCAAAAAAAAAAAAGAAAGAAAGAAAGAAAAATTTAAATTCAAGTGGTGTTTACCACCCTCTCTTCCCAATAATAACCAGTAGTGTGCACCAACTAACTCGACCTTGTCAGAGGTTATACTCTGGCCAAAAAGACAGCCTAGGAGGGAAAGAGTGATGGAGAGGACGGGCAGCTTTGATCCACTAAGTATGGCTCCGTGACTAAATCACACCATGTATGCCCCTAGGACCACTGGTAAAGAAAATCAAGTTTTTTTAAGCACTTAGGTGGCACTGCTACTCACTGACTCAATGGCTACAAACCTTGGGAAACTGCTTGGCCCCCATGTGCCTTATAGACCCTTGTGAGGCTATTCTACAGGTTAAATGTCATGAGTATGTAAAATGCTTAGCAGTGTCTGGAACATAGTAAGCAGTCACCAAGGAGAAGGTATTAGATCCCAACTTGAGGGGCACAAGGTATCACCCACTCTGAACCCCATTCCCCTCCTCCTATCCACTGGGGTGTGGGTAGGAGCTTACAGGTATTATAAACACAAACTCACAACTCCAAACACACTGTGAGGGGTGCAGAGACAATCTGAAGGTCTAGTAGAAACTGTGGAGCCAGGTTGGAAACGAGGCAGCCAGAATTTGATTCCCCTACTGGACACAGGGCAACTGACAGCATCTGGAGTCTCAGGGACATGTAGACAAGGAAAGGGAGGCTCCTGAGGAGGGAGCTTCTCTGATACCTTTTTGCCCTCAACACCGGATAGGGTACACTACAGACTCTATCTGCTTGTTTCCTGATGCAAGTCCAGGAGTGGGCCCTGGGTGTCCTAGACCCCTGAACAGGGTTGTGCATGGGCCCCCAGACTTCCCTAGCTTCCCCTGCCAAATGGATGCAAAGCTCAACTGACCAAGTCCCCGGACCCCTCTGGCCCCCCTCTCCCTGACCACGAAAAGGCTCTGGCTGGATTTGTGGTCACCCAGGGATGCAGCCACAACGCCCACATCCTCATGCCATTGCCGTGGGACGCAGATGTTTGAGTGCCAATCATTGCACCAGAACAAAGCCTTTTGTACAGCAGGCCAGGCTGAGGCTCAACACAAACCATGAGCTCACAGTTTTTCTCGTTAAAAGCAGGTAGAAAACAAAGGGAAAAAGAAGAATCTCACGTTCTAAAAGGAGATACAAAAGTCAGAGTGAGGCTGGACAGGCAAGGCTGAGAAATCCACATTTCAACATGCCCTCTGACCCTCTGTACCACATTCCACCCAAGTACTGCAACACAGCAGCTGGGACAAGCCCTTCCGCCAGGGCCCAGGTGAGGGTGGGTCAGCCACGTCCCTGGACAGGGGCTTCCAGGCTGGATGCTGGCAGGCATGTAAGTGGATGGCAATGAGGATTTGCTGCTGCTGCCAAGACTCCTCTTCCTACCTACAGATCTATCCCCAAACTCAAGACCAGCACTGAGGGCTTTAGGTACATACAAGACTCCCTAAAACCCAGAAGAGGCCAAGCACTGCATTTCCCTAATGTCTTATTTCATTCCCCCAAGACACACACACACACACACACACACACACACTGTGCGCTCCCAAAGCCACAGCCTCATCTGCTGGGCCCACCAACACCAGCAAACCAAGTTCTATAATCTTCCTTAAAGAAGCAGGCCTGCCCTGCTCTGGGGGAGACTTGGAATGGAGCCTGTGACAAGCTCTATATGCTGAAAAGTCTAGGCATCTGCACAATATTCCATCATGACTATCTTGCTCTCTGAACACAGAGACACAGATAAGCTATGATGAAATCTATAGAGGACAAGTTTGACTCCTGTCCTTGTCACAATAAGTTAATAATAAAGGGGGAAGATCTTCCTAGATAGTGGGTTCCTGACTGTGTTGCCTGGGGAGGGGGTGGTGCAGCTCTACGACACACATAATTAGATCAGATCATCTGCAACTGCAACGGGGGGACATTTCTAACAAGACTGTAGAATTTGTAATGATGAAGGTGGGATATACACTAACTTACTACTTGGACTTACCCTTCCCCAATGCCAAAAAAGCCACAGCAATCCCTTACTTATCAAAACATGCTACATATTTTCCTAAGAGGACATTTCAGGTCGCTCTTTGAGCAACAGAGCTGTCTCCTAACTTTGCCAACAATTTAAAAACTTTCTTTCCGAACAGGAAAAGGTTTGCTGTGCAGGGCTTGTTACATAAATTCCTGTTTTTCACACAGCCAGCAGGACATTAAAGAGGCTATGATTGCAATGGGGGAACCAGAGTGGCAAGAGTGGCGGTGCTGAAGAGGTAATGCTGGTGAAAACATGTGTCGCTATTAACGATGTTATCATGTCTGCCGATCACTGCCGGACACGGTGGACTCAGCCTGGTCTCATCGGGGAACCATGCAGCAGAGCCACACGCGACCGTCAGAGCTGTGCAGTCCTAGAACACGAACGAGTATCACGTGAGGAGAGAGGCAGAGTGTGAGCACAGAAGACTCATGCACTGCAAACCACTCACCTAAATCCAGAATTTCTGCATGAGACCATTAGAGAAAAGAACAAATCAGCAACTTTCCTCTCCACTAGCTGCACGGAGCTTCTCTGCAGCTCAGGCTGTCTGCTAATGCAGAGCTGGCTTTCCTCTGCATATGCCCCCTCTGCCACCTGCCCCCAACTCAGCTGCCATTTGCCCATGTGCGTGCCTGGCCACACTGAGCGGCGCAGGGTGTTCTTGGGGAGCTTGACCCAGTGGAAGTCCATGGATCTTGTAGGGAAGGGGTGCCCAGGACAGTGTGTCCTGGCTTGTTCGACTTGCTCTGCTGGCTGTTTCTAAAGCTCAGGTGTTCCATTTTATGCACTCTATAGACTGGATTCTTAAAGGGCAAGGGGATAGAGCGTGTTTTTATTTACTAATCTCAAGGCCCCTAACAGATGTTCCACACAAAAGACATATTCAATGAACATTTGTTGACTGACATCCCAAAAACATTACAGGGAAGGTGTAATGCCTTCCACATATTTTCTCCATCCATTCGTGTACCAATTCATACCAAATAACTTTTATCGGGATTGATTTACGCTGGGTGCAGTGAAGGATGTCAGAAGGAATTAGTCACAGAGTCTGCCTTCCAGGTGTTTTATAATCTATCTAGAGAAGTAACAAGTCCATCTAAACAGTCACTTAGTACAGAAAACGATGTACAAAGGACTGTCCTGGAGCCTTGACTTTCTCCTGCCAAAAACTGCCACCCCACCCCTATAACTTCTGTCTCAGCCAAAATGTCCCTTTCCTTCTGGAAGCATATCTTGAGAATCCCATTACCATCCTGAAGCAAGCGTAAGACCCGGTTTACTCACCACAATTCTGATTCTACTATGTCTGGCTCCCCACTATACTGTCAGCAGCATGAGCTCGGGGAACTGGTCTGTCCCCTTGGACACTGTACCCTCACAGCTCCATCATCAAGTAGATACTCAAGTATCTGCTGAACGGATTAATACGTCCTACATTTTTACAGGGTTGTTGTAAAGATTAAATGAGATAAGATGTGCTTACCTCAATCAATATCAGCTAATGCTGTTATTATTGGGATAATGGCATCTATAAAATAACAGTCTGTGCTTTAGAGATTTATCCATATTATAAACATTAGTCTCATTTCTTAAAAATCATATCTTGTACTGTTCTCACTAACATGAGGCTTTTACATGTTAGTTACTGGACAAACAGACCAGTTTTGGGGTAAGAGTTAAGATATTTTTCCTCTGCACTAGACAGCATCTCAGATGCTATGGGCCAATGCTAAGGAAGGAATTCAGACAATAAAGGTGGTCTGTTAACATGCTTGCTGGTCATGTCCTCATAACTTCAAGGTTGCTGCCGAGCCTTGTGTGTGCACAGGCAGCAGCAGCAGGTGTTAGAGCAGAGCCACTTCAACAGGCCAGTCTGGCATCGCCACAGGGGATGGTTATGACTGAGCTCCACTGGTCCCCCCGCCTTCCTGGCTAGAAAAAGCCAGGCTCCAAGGCTGGTCCCCAGAGGCCCTGGGGACACAGAGCAGGAACCATCCCTCCCCAGAATGCTCCTAGCCTTGCTGCCTAAAGCAATAATCAGATAACAAAATCCAAGAAAGAAATCTTTACACCTTTCACTTCATTTACATTTTTATCTCATTTTTTTAAATGAGCAAATGTGTTATATAATGTATATAATATATTGTTACAGAGTAAGTGAATAAATGTAATCTCAAAAAGACTCAGTGATTTTTAACGAAGACATTTAGAGACCACTAGTCTGTTACAGTCAACTTCTAGTCTCCTAGAAGCCCCAACAAGAAAACCAAAGGAGCAGAACGAGCCCTACAGTCAAGTCTAGCAAACTCTTCGGTCC